TCCCCATCAGCAGCCCTCTCAACATAAATAACCAGCCATTGCAGCACTTAGCTGCAAATGTCAGCCCTGGTGGGGGTCTCTGCCTGGGCATATGTACTGTGTGTGTGTGTGCATGTGTGTATGTGTGTGTGTGTGTGGCCACCCCGCCCCCTGCTGGCTTGTGTGGTGAACCTCAGCTGGATGTGAGCAATATCAAAGGTAGAATTCCCAATATGGCCTATAGCATCTTGCTGCCTGTGCACTCTCTCTCACCATCTCACTCTGAGTGTGTGAGATGAGAGACATCAAGCTGCAACAAATCTGCAGTCATTGCTCAACCTGCTGCAGTTTGTTGCACTGCTATGACCCCCTACAGGCCAGTCGCTGCTACTGCATCTGTCTTTCTCTGCACAGGCCAAGTAATAGTTTTCATTGCATTCATCTGGTGTAATAAAAGTAAATGGATGTCATTTACTCTAGAGAATCTAATAAAAAGTCAAGTGTGTGAGTTGAATGCCAATAAGGGACTTAACTAATGGGAATCTAAGTATATGACACAGGTCTTAATTATACTTAAATAAATTGAAAATGTAAACAGTTCTCCGTTTCCTTTCCTCAGTTTCTTTTTTGATTTTCTTCCTCTTATCCCTGTCTTGATATTTTTTTCATGTAATATGTATCTTATTCCTTCTCCATGACTGTCTCTTAACTTCATCTCTTAACTTAATTCCAATCTGCATTGCTGGAATGACATGAAATTTGTTTTGTCAAAGCATATAGCCAAATACAGTATGGATGAAGGAGAGAGGAGCTATTTAAACATCATGTATATCTATCTATCTCTCTATCTCAGGCTCTCGTCCTCAGTTCTCTCGCTCCATCTCCATGGCAGACGAGCATACCCTGAAGAAGATGGGAGTGACCACTGTGACCATATCTGACCCCTCTGGTTCTGTGCCACCTAATTCCATTCGCCACAATTCTGCCACTGAATGATGCCGCACCCATAAACGCAGACACACACACGCACACACTGTACAGGGCAAACACAGAGAAACAAAAGTCAACATTGACCAGAGTCATATGATGTTATATTTGAGACACTCGCACTGAGTCTGAGATATGATCTAAAGGGAAACGGTTTAGGGAAAACATTTATTCGCTGTCTGGAAGAGAGTTAGACGAGCAGAATAATGCCACTCGCGTGTTTATCTGTTAAACATCAGACCACACTAGCTGTTTCCTCCTGTTTCCAGTCTTTGAGCTAAGCTAAGCTAACCAGGTGTGGGCTCCAGCTTCATATATTCTGTGTAGACACAAGAGCAGTATCGATCTTCTCATCTAAGTTTGCCAGAGAGTAAATAAGCATTTTCTAAACACCACTGCAGAAATGGGCCTATTTATTTATTCTTGTTCACAGCACTATACAAACGCTGCACAAAGAACGAACACTTTGCACCTACTCAGAGACAATTTCCACTGTTGCCTTTGAAACACCAGTGTCTTCATCAGCCTGTAAATGCAGTGCTTCTCAGCTTATTCACTGGATTCGTCAGCCAGACTACCAGCAGGGCATGCTGAATGTTTCCCTGTCCTCAACCAGCAGCCTACAGACAGATGCATAAGGAGTTTAATAGAGTGGATCTAATGAGAGAACAGAGGAGAAAGGGGGAGGCTGTCAGTGTTATAGATTTGCTCTCCTCCCCTCCTCAGCCAATAGGTCAGACCAGGTGTATTGACAGAGGGCAGTGAGACGTTGTATTGGTTCTTTGATCCCTTAGCTGAGAGCTGTAAATGGGTCAAGCCAGGGTAAACATCAATTACTGTATGAGACAATGATTTATAAGACTATAAGCTTGATTTGTTAATGTACATTTAGACAAGAATGGATTCTCATCATTACAGGTCAACAATGTCAAAATAATACCTGATGTATACTATATAATGCAGAAATAGTTTTCTGTTGCCTTATCTGTAAAAACATTCTATTTAAACTAAGCACAAAAATGATGCATGTGGGACATCTATGAGGAAATGACACTGTATGGTCTTTTATAATGAAACTCTATCAATAAATATGATTTCTTTCCAAATCGAAGGTTCACTAGTGTCCTAACATCTAAGTAGAAAAAATGGACCGTACACATTATCAGCCATGTTTGATCAGTACTGACCTGAAACAAAGGACCTGCTCCTAGCACATCACAGCCCTCGCATGTAATCTACTCACCAATTTCACATTTCTGTGCTATGTGGAACTCCAGCAGCAGTGGACCTGAAAAGAGGCAGCCATTTGGTCCAGCCTGGATGGACCGTGTAAACCGTGGCAGTTTGCTCTCTGAAAATCAATGAAGGACAATAATGAATGTTTAACAGATGCAGCGCTGTGAGATGGGTGTGCACATATGCCTGTCATCGCTGTGTCACTTCATTGTTCAAGACTTCAGGACGAAAACTCAGGCTTGTCACAGAGAAACTTGTAAGTTCCTCCTGATTGACAGATGTGGCAGCTTGCTTTGAATGGCGCACTAAATAGCTCACATTATGGGGCTCATTATGATTTCTTTTATCCATACAAATCAAGAGCCAGCATGACAATTTGTTATTAGCTTGCTGACAATGGGGTGAATGTGCATTCACATATGCACACAGACACATAAATACACACATGCGGTACTCTTCCTCTCAGTGTCTCTTTTTACAGTAGCAGCAGGATGCTAATACAAAAGAGCAAGTGCTCAACACAGCCAGGAGTGTTCACAAGTGCTGCAGAGGGAGTTCAAATTGTGGCTGAACTGCATTAGCTTTACCTCTTTCTCTTTTTCTTCTTTGTCTCTCCCATAACATTTTCTCTCTTATTATTGCCAGCTTTGGTCTTTACTATTCTCCTCCTTTCTCTCTGTCCTCTGTCCTTTATCCTGCTTCTGTCATTCTTGAAATCTCCCTTGATCTTTCGCTTCTCTTTATCTGTGTGCCCTCATCTTCATTCCTCAAGAGGGCCTCTAAGGAAGATGTACTGTGTTCATTATATGGTAATGTTCTCCATGGTACATTATCATAGATCGTGACCCCATAGCACCGAATCATCCTGCTATTCCCAGTTCGTCCATCAGAACACACAAATAGCGTGGTAAAGGAAAGACAGGGTGCTCTCCAGAGCCACATTGGGCCAATCTGCATTGTGCTCTACTGTACAATTATTTTCATGTAGAACCTTGAACTGGACACTTAAAGTACTGGCACACACATGATGGGGCGGGGGGTCAGAAAGACAAAAGGGAAAAAGTACAGGTTGGGGATTAGAAATCAAGGAAAGAAACCAAAACAAGGAGAGAATCAAATTTAAAGATTAAAAAAACAAATTTAAATAGAAAGCCATTTTAGGGAAGTAGAGCACGAGTCTGTTTATTCTAAAGAAATAAATGAAAATCATTTATATCGGTACATAATTTGTCCTCCACTTTAATGGCATTTTGCCTACCCCCACTGATGTACAAGCTTCTCGTTCAGATCAATACATGCTCTCCATTCACTAGATGGACAGTAATGCCATTGCCTCATTTGTTTGACAATGTGTGTGTGTGTGTGTGTGTGTGTGTGTACGCGCATCTCCATTTCCTGGCTGTAACTCGGCCTTTAAAGTAGAGTGGCCATTAAGTCACATAGTTTAGCATGTCACTAACTTAATCACTTAGCCCACATGCCAACAATGATTAAATGAGAGTTTAATTTGTGTGTGTGTTTATGTGTGTGTGTTGCAACCCTCACAGAATGAGTGTGAAGTGAATTAAAGGGAGACTCGGTGTATATAAACATGTTAATGTTATAAAGGTATTTACCTCTCCTCTTTTTCTGAAATGGCACGTGTGTGGATGTGCGTTAATTCCCACCAGTTTAAGGCTTGCATAAGACTAAATGGTGACGCCAAGATGCTTGTGTTCCCTCATTACATTGTCAGTAATACAGTTTTAGCCCACTCAGCCACATAAATGACTTGAAATCCTTTGTACATTAAGCCTCACCACTGGGAACCAATTCGTAACCTCTGCCCAGTAATATGTTAACTAGACCTTATCTGTGGACAGGCAGAGTGTAAAATTCATACAGTATCTGAGAGAACTAATTGAACCAATTATGAAAGTGAATATGGATTACTGTGAGACTGTGAACATGCACATCCCCTCTGGAATAGATTTGGAGACCACTGCTTTGACATGATAATGATTGTCACTGCAAATGGATGGCGTGCAGACTCCCACTGTGCTGCGCTACACAACATCGAGTCGGCTCACTTTGCACTTATACTGATGTATTTTCATTTTCTTAGCAGCTGATCCCAGGGCCGGTATTCTGGGCAGTAATTAATTGCATGAGGGTAAAGGAAAAGTCCAGGATAAGTGTTAAAATGGTTCCTAGCCTTGTGCATACTCTCACATCACACAACAACACAAAGGCAGCACTCTTTTTTCACACAGACACAAATTTGCTAAAGGAAACAAAAGGCCAATGAGTGTAAAGAAGAGCATACGCAGAAACTTGCAGAAAAGAGCCTTGGGTAGTTCATGCTTTAAATATCTTAATCAGCAAGCCCACAAAGCCCCCCAAATTTAATTGCCCCTCCATGACTATTAATTACATAACCTGCCTTTGCAGTCAGCATGGCTGTATGTTTGCTAACAGAAGAAGATGAATTAGAACAGTAAGTAGAATACATTAAAATACAATGGTGTATATTGATCTACAAAGGCAGAATTACATTTCCTCTTCAGGATGTACATACAAACAACATTTTTTGTGAGCACATCATAAAACAAATTACAAAGAACAATGTGCTGTAACATATTACTGTAGAGAAGCATCATAAGTGCTACAAAGTACCATATTACTGTGAAACAAAAGAGGCCACAGAGGCTGAAGAAACAATACGCTGTATTGTTCTAAACCTGAGACGGTCTCTGAAGGGACAACATAGACAATGGAGCTACTACAAGGTTAAAATATTGACCTTGCTTGACTGGCAGCCAGTTTGAATTCACCTGTGGAAAGCCTTCAGAGAACACTGGAACATGTGGTATAAATTAAAAAATGTCAGAAAATAAGAATATAAACCAATTCTCATGAGACGTTTCTGGAAACTGCTGCGATGAGTGTAGCATTGAAAAGATGCTTGGGTAAGCTGGATTAGCAAGATACCTTGTTTAGATTACTATTATTATAAAATGCAAACCCAGAACTCTCCAGGGATGATCATTCATTTTCCATGTCAAACCTGCAAAATGATGGACTGTTAAATATCATACTTCTTTTGTATGACACAAGCTACATTTTGGTGCGTATATTAAATAGTTACCAATACTTGCAGGTCATTTTTCTACCCCAGTTTTTTTTTTTTCAGTAAAAAAGCTACATAAAAAAGTACAAGCAGCTAATAAGTTCGCCATATCAACTTAAAAAATGATGAAATGTTTGCATTCACAAATTGTCTGCAATGCCCCCAAGTGGCCCAAAAAATCGATTATTGCAAGTTTAACTAAAATACTGTAGTTTCAGATCATGAAGCATTTATTGTTTAAACTGTGATTTAACGGCTCTGATACGAGCATCCAATCAGATAGCCCTCAGATGCATCACTCTAAAGGACAGTTACACACAACATATTTTGTCTTTTAATATGGAATATCAAAAATTATGCACCCAATTGCACTTCACTGACCTGAGGTCGCCTACCCAGTCTGTAGGCCCACAGTTTGTTACACATTGACTGCACAAAGTCAATTAAATGCTAAAATGAGCGAGAACAATAATTCAATATATTTCAACCCAGTCCTGCACTGGCTCACTTAAAATAATACCTTCATGTATGTACGTTGAATAGCAGCCAGCAGCCTATTAGCTTAGCTTAGCATAATGACTGCAAACAAACATCTCGTCTCTGGCAAGAAACCAAATTAGCATATTTCCCTAAATATTCCTTTGAGCTGTTTCTTTAGTGTGTGTGATTTGCATATTGAAAATCATTATTTTATGAGATTGCTGTCATCAATGAAATTGTTATGATGTATAAAATTGTTATGGTCCTTACTGTAATGAGGACTGTTTTATTAAGTGCTCTTTTCTTTGAGTGTTCGTGTGGAGTTGTGTGTTTGACTTAGAACTGTTGACAGGTTGCACCTGACTGTACAGTGGGACACAGACAGACATGTACGTCAGCAGTCGATAGACTCTTCAGTGACAGTTCAGGATGACAGTGAAGTGCCAATCGACCTGCACAATGGAGCAGAAGTATCCTCTCTTGTCTCCCAGTTCTATCAGCATACTAGATAATCAGTTCACACCATTTTAAATTTGTGCAACTGTATATTTATGTATATTACATTGGGGAAAAACAATCCAATCCTCTGAAAAAGTGGAAAGTCCTAGACAATATGGCAATGACTACCCAAGTCTTAATTCCATAAAAACCCAGGTG